TTTGACAGACAGAGATCACAAGTAGGCAGAGAGGCAGGCAGAGAGTGAAGGAGGGGAAGCAGGCTCCTTGCTGAGCAGAGAACCTGATGCGGGGCTTGATTCCAGGACCCCAAGATCACAACCCAAGCCAAAGGCAGAGGCTTAACCCACTGACCCACCCAGGTGCCCCTGGAACTTTTTCATAATCAACATTACTTATGATCTTCTGCAGTGGTTAGTAACCCTATCTGCCCCCAAACAATCTCTCTTTTTTTAATAAAATATTTTATAATGCCCCTTTTGTTCTGGAAAGTCTGTACCCTTGTCAATCATGAGGCTGTGTGGCTGCCCACTGCTGTTCACAGTTAGACGGGGGCAAAGAGGCATCACCAGGTATCTGGCCTCTTCCTCCCTGCCCCCACTGTTTAAAAGCAGCCCTACCTCCTCCTGCTGATCAGGCCCAGTCACCGCCACCAAAATGATGACTCAGGGACGTCAGGTTCCCAGCCACAGATTTCAGTGTGCCCTGGGTGGCATGTAGCTTGTGGTTGAATGGACCCCTGCTGTATCCCCTGGCAAGAGTGGAACACTTTTGAGAACTAGCGTCTGCAACCCTGCAGGACCCACAGTGGTGAGGACAGCCAGTACAAACCCCGCCACCCAGGGAGTCATGGGGGGCGTGGGACTCCTCTCATTTCTGCTCCTTGGTTCCTACCGCCATATTTTATTGGGAACACGACTGGAAAGGCCGCTCTGCAGACTTCTAGTACAGGAGTCCTCCTTTATCTGCAGTTTCCTGCTCTGGGGTTTCAGTGATCCACAGTCAACTACCATCTGGAAGAAGAAAATCCTCCTTAGGTATCATCGGAAGGTCAAAAGTAATGCTCCGTCAGCACGCCGACGTCGTTCGCCTCACTTCTTCTCAGCACAAAAGCATTTTATCATCTCACACCATCACCCAAAAAGAAAAAAAAAGTGAGCACGTGTAATAAGATATTTTGAGAGTGACCACCTTCATACAACTTTTATTGCAGGATATTGTTGTAATTGTTCTATTTTTATTGTTAATCTCTTATGGTCCCTAATTTATAAATTAAACTTTATTACAGGAACGTCTGTATGGGAGAAAAATAGAGTTTACCTAGGGTTCAGTTCAATCTGCAGCATCGGGCATCCCCTGGGGGTCTTGGAATGTATCCCCAGTGGATACTTTTATTGCACCTGTATTTTACCTCTGAATACTAGGAGTTGGTTCCTGTGCCTTTGGAAGGTGGTTCCAGTGTCGCGTGAGCCTGGCTGTTTCTCCTAGTGCAGGATGTAATCTGACCCATGGATTCCATGGTCATGGACTCCCTCCCACTGTCAAGTGGATCCCTTGTTCTGATGCTATGTTGTATGGGATTCCATACCTATGGACCGGGACGTCTGTCAGGACAGCAGTCATGGCTTGAAGCTCTACAGAGAGGAAAGACTAGCCGATTAGCTGGCTATCCCCATGAGGAGCAAACCATTGGCCCTTCCAGGATGGAGGGAGTCCAAAATAGTTGTTTTGCCACCAGCTGGGCTCCCCGAGGATTGGCACCTGGTGCTGACAGGTTAGCCATTCGGACACAGCCATAGCCATATGGAGCTTGCTAAGTGCTATATTCATGTTAAGTTAATGTGGTGAAGATACTCTTTTTTTCTTCCCGCCCTTTACAGAGCTGCTTCCATCTAGCAGGCTCCCCTCTTGCCCTCCAACACCTGGGCTCCCTGCCCTGTGGGTTTGGCAGGAGACCCAGCAGACCACAAAGGAGGAGGAGAGAAAGACTGTCCATCCACCCCCCAGCCCCCACTTTCCAACTCACAGTGTCCCTTAACCAGAGTCCACAGCTCCTCCCTTACAGACCTTTTTATAGCTCCAAGCATTCACAGGGTCTCCCCAAGAGCTCCTTCTCCTCATTCCTTCAGCAAGAATGGGAATGCTCCCCACTGTTGCTACCCCAGGAGGCTTCTTGAAGCCTCCCCTGTCGGCTTCCCCTCAACTGCCCCACTTTGTGAAGGGTCTTTACAGTCAGGCGGTCTGTGGTCCCAGGAGGCCGTCTGTTCCTTCCAGGACCCCAATTAACAAAAACAACATAGAGTATTTTCTTCTGGCCTTTAAAGTGAGCTGCAGGCAGCAAACCTATTTTCGCCTTGCCTTAATTCATTTGACAAATATTTACCGAGCATCAGCCATGTGTCAGGTCCTGTTCTGTTTTTTGAGAAAACAGTGGTCAGCAAGACAAAGGTCTTGCTACCGGAAAGGTAACTTTAAACAGCAATAAGGGGCCTGATCCCTCCAGTAATCCTTTGGAGGGGGGCTGTGGGTGCAGCTACCTTAGGGTGGGGGTCCTGCAAAGGTCCTTTGGGGCCAGGGAGATTTGAGAACGACCTGAAGAAGAACTTGCTGTTCAAAGATCTGAGAGCAGAGCATTCCAGATAGTGAGGTAGTAGGTGAGGGCAAGGGCCTAGTGGATCAATGAGCTTGGCTTTTTTTTTTAAGGTTTTCATTTAAATTACAGTTATTAATATACATTTTTATATTAGTTTCAGGAGTACTGTATAGCGATTCAACACTTCCCTACATCACCCGTGTTCATCACAACAACCTCCCCCTTTACTCCCCATCCCCTGTTTCCCCCGTCCCCCCACCCACCTCCCCTCTAGCAACCATCAGTTTGCTCTCTATAGTTAGAGTCTGTTTCTCAGTTTCTCTCTCTCTCTTTCTTCCCTGTCATCATTTGTGTTATTTCTTTTTTTTTTAAGATTTTATTTATTTATTTATTTGACAGAGAGAGAGATCACAAGTAGGCAGAGAGCAGGCAGAGAGAGAGAGAGAGAGAAGCAGGCTCCCTGCTGAGCAGAGAGCCCGATGCGGGACTCGATCCCAGGACCCCCGAGACCATTACCTGAGCTGAAGGCAGGGGCTTAACCCACTGAGCTACCCAGGCACCCATAAAGAAGAGGGTTTTTTGTTTTGTTTTGTTTTTTAAGAGTGTTCTTTATTAGCAATGCACCTTTTCATACTTTTTTTTTTAAGTAGGTTCCATGCCCAACATGGGGCTTGAACTCATGACCCTGAGATCAAGAGCTGTATGCTCTACTGACTGAGCCAGCCAGGAACCCCATTTGTGTTATTTCTTAAATTCCACATGTGAGTGAAATCATATGGTCTTTGTCTTTCTCTGACTGACTTATTTTGCTCGGCATAATACTCCTTAGCTCCCTCCAAATCATTGCAAATGGCAAGATTTCATTCTTTTTGGTGGCTGAGTAATAGTCCATTGTATAGATATACTACCTCTTCCTTATCCATTCAACAATCGGGGGACACTTGGGCTGCCTCCATCATTTGGCTATTGTAGATAACGCTGCTACAAACATGAGGAAAGACAGTAATGTTAATACAGGTAATGGGCAACTAGCCTATGTGTGGGTAGACTTATAATCCAGTGTAGGCCTCTTTCCGAGTAGACAATCTAGTTTGCTTAGCGAGTGCTTTTCAGCCTATTTATTGGGTACACACGGGATTTTAGCATAGCCCCAAGTTCTACATGAGCCCCATTTACCTAAGGAAGGTCACGGCTACGAAGTTGCAGAGGTAGTAAGACGCCAATCACTTCTGTTTTATCCCAGTCTCAGAGGTGGTTTTCCCCTCTGAATTAAGGGAGTAAGGAGGGACATACCAGCTGGAGGTCCTCAACAGTTTTCAGAGATGACTAATCTAGCCACTGACATGAATAATCCGCAGACACCCAGAGAATGAGGGGAAGATATAACAGGTCTTTTTCTTGAATGAACGAATGAATGAATGAATGGTTGTGGAATTGCCCAAATCACAAAGTTCCAAGCCAGCAGTGCGTGATTTTCTTTGAGTATTACCAACGATATTGGAAGCATAATAGTGAGACCCATTTTCGGATATGAGTACACTTGATAGGAATGTGTGACCAGGCAGAGACCCCGCCTGACTTCCAGCCTTTCTTCCCTTTCTTGGAGAGACTGGGGGCTTCTTCGTTCTCATTCAGACCTTGCTACCTAAGTCTGCAGCAGGACCGCGGGATAGCTCACTGTGTTGCTACTGGATTATTACTTTGGGCCAAGCAGTGCTTCCACAACGGAATGAAGTCATCAGCTGAACAAAAGTTGGAGCTCTTCTCCCCCCCATCTTTTCCATGCGTGATAGTCTCGATTTTTTCAAACGAAAACCCTCTCTAGGTCAGCGGCGAGGTCTTAACAATTTCTGCTCCCAGCACCCCATGTCTGGCACCTAATAAATGGTGAGAGCGCTGAGATTCTGCTTGGTGAGATCGCAACCCGGACCGCGTCTCTAGGCGCGAGTGCGCAGAGATCGCTTTCGGCCACCGAGCGGCGCCAAGGCACCATCCAGGCCGGACCCACTAAGTTTTCCAAGGGGTTTGAAGTTCTCAACTTTAAAAAAAAAAAAAAAAGTGTCACAAAGGTTAATTCACAAGTCTAGGGGCATTTTCCCCAGACACGGATGATGCTCCAGCCAGAGGTGGGCTGCAGAAGGCGCCGAGTGTCCGGGCGCACGGCAGTCCTCTCGGGATCGCGGGGCCCCCGGGCCTGGGGAGCCGCGGAGGTGCGCGCGCGGCAGCGGGGTGCAGCCCGCCCCCCGGGACAGGTGAGGTGGAGGTCCGCGCCGCGCCAGGGGTCCGCCGGGCGCGCGCGGTGGGTGGGGGCTCGGAGGAGCCGGCTCCCGTCCCTCCCCCGCCCCTCGCCGCGCGGGGCCGACCGGGCCGCTCCTCCCCTGGGTGGGTCCCGGCTCCTTTTCTGGCAGGGTCTATTTGCATAGAGGAAACTGCCCAAAGTGGCCGCTGTGGAGGAGCTGGCGGCGGAGAGGGGGGCGTGCGCCGTGCTCCGCGGCTTTCCCGAGGCCAAGCCCCGCGCGCGGCCAACCTCGTGCCTCGGGCTCTCCTGCCTGCGCCCGCGGCTCCCTCGCACCGCCCCCTCGGAGACCCACGCGCGACCCGCGCGCCATGAGCTCGGGCCAGCGCGCCGGCGGCGACGCGCGGAAGGACGGCCCGGCGGGCGGCGGCGTGGGGCGTCCCGCGACGGCAGCCGGGGCCTGGGCGGTGAGCGCCGTGTGCCTGCTGCTCTCCGTGGGCTCGGCAGCCGCCTGCCTGCTGCTGGGCGCCCAGGCGGCCGCTCTGCAGGGCCGGGTGGCGGCGCTCGAGGAGGAGCGGGAGCTGCTGCGGCGCGCGGGGCCGCCGAGCGCCCTGGCTGCCTGGGCCGAGCCGCACCTGGAGCGCCTTCTGCGCGAGGTGAGGGGCGCCGGGCGCGGGGGCGGCCGGGGTCAGCGGCTGGGCGCGGGCTGGGCGGCCGTCTCCCTGAGGAGGGGTCGCCGGTCCACCCGGGGCCTGCGCGGCCGCGGGAGGCTGCGGGTGCCGGTGCCCGAGGGGGTCCTGGCGTCTCCGCTCCAGCCGCGGGGTCGCGCGCGGTCCCGGGAGCAGCGGCCGCGGGAAACGCGAGCTGGACGGGCGGCTTCGGGAACGAGCCTCGGGGAGGGAGAGGGAGGAATGCCTGCGGGCTTAGAAATTGTGCCAGACCTGGGGTCGAGTCTCCACGGGGGTGCGCGCTCGGACCGGTCGCCTCCCGCCGGCGCTGAGCGCCTGGCCCCTCGGTGCCGGACTAATGTGCCTGGCTCGTGTGGGAAGTGTAGGGTGGGTGACTCGTCACCGGGAGCCTGGCAGCCACTGTTCCCCGTGCTGGTGTACCTGGAGAAGAGCGGGCTCCCCAGCAGGCCGGCGGCCACAGCGGAGGGAAGCCTCGGCGGGGCCCTTAGAGAGTTCTAGCCAGCCTCACCTTCCCTGCCCACCTCACCTTCCCTGTCCACCTTTCTCCCCGGAAAGGGTTCCGAGCCCCTCCATCCTAGAGATGCTGTGTTCTGAAGCTCTTAGAGCTGAGTGCCCACCCAGTGCCAACGAAACCTGGTAGAATGAGGGGAAGAAAAAAAAACCAAAACGATTCTGGCTTCCAAGCGATGCAGATACATCTGAATTTCTTGCGCTTGTTGGAAGTGTCATAGGGGACGCTGTGACAGGAGTCCTAAGGTCGCTTGCTGTGTGTCTTCAAAGCAGACGTCACACTTAGTACCTCAAAACCCTCATCCATCCATCATGTTCGTGAAAAACTCCACATTTTGTGCAGCAGTGCTCCTCCCCAGAGAACCGAGACAGGCGGGTGGACTGGCCAGGGGGTCTCCTGGTTGTGCTCACCTCCCTTGCCTGAGCCACCCCTTCCTCCTGGGAAAAGCAGATCCCCAGTATACTGTCTAGGGGCGCACCCTCAGTTGTAGTGGGGGAAAGCCCTAGGGTTTCAAGGTAGAGGAGAGGAAGGTAGGCCTGGCCTGTTACTGCCCATTCCCCTCAGCTGTGCGAGCTGTGATCTTTACTCATGTATCCCATCGTGTATCCATGGTTGAGTGCATTTGGGATTTGGGGGGAAATGGGAGAAGATTGCACCACACCTTCTAGTCCCAGGTACTTGTTTCTTATGAGTTTAGTTGAAGCCAGTGTTACCTCTCTTCCAGCAGCATGCTCTGGGGGCAGAATTGCTGGTTCTTGGGTCGATTTCCTTCTTTTCGTCTTGAAAGTGCCCCCAGACTTTGGAAGTCTCCCCGGAGTCCCACTGGTGACTGAAGTGCTGAGACTTCCATAATTGCAGGCCATTATCTTTTTGGCAAGTCCCTAGAGACCAGGGTGTTGAGTTGATTTATGGAGGCCCAGGAACATTACTATCTGTTAGTGCAATAACCAGAGCCGTTCTTTCCAAGAGGAGACCCCCCCTTTTTTTTTAAAGATTTTATTTATTCATTTGACAGAGAGAGAGATCACAAGCAGGCAGGGAGGCAGGCAGAGAGAGAGGAGGAAGCAGGAGCAGAGAGCCCTATGCGGGGCTCAATCCCAGGATCCTGGGATCATGACCCGAGCCGAAGGCAGAGGCCCCAACCCACTGAGCCACCCAGGCCCCCGAGGAGAACCCTCTTAATAAAAATAAACCGCAAGCCCAGACTGAGTCCATCAGAAATCCCGGTAAAACCTTTTTACAAGGAACCTGCAAATTGTGTCCAGGTTAATGGTGGTGGGAACGGGGCCGATGTCCTGGCAAAGCAACCACTGCTGAAAAGGGTGGCTTCCCCAAGTCCTGGATCTTGAGGATTAAGGATCGGAGAGGAGAGACTGCAGGGGCTTCATTCTTGACCCCCTCGGGTGGCACTGATACCACCTGGGTGAGACTTCAAGTCTCTCCGTCTCTGTCCCAGTCTCTCTGCTCTCGGTTAGAAAGGCAAAGGGCAAATTTCACATCCAGGGATTTCCACTTGAAATTCATCAGGGCATCTCGCAGGCTAGCGTGAACGCAGGACTTTCCGTGGGCAGGCTGTATTCCTAGGTAACTAAACTTGGCTTAGTTGGGTTTAGTTAGTTGAAGAGCGGATGCGCTTGACGCACAGGTTGGAGGATGAAGATTCAGAGATGCCGCGGTTCAGTGCACTTGGAGTTGAGCTTCTGGCTATTTGGGGACTCCTGTGAGAAGGCATCTCTCTCCCAGGGCACCAGTCTGTTCCTGCAACAAGCTGTTCTACTCACAGTGTCACTGGATGGGACATGTAAGCCCCTGGCACAGATGAGGCCCGGGGGAGGGGGTGTGCGTAGGAGGTGCGGGACTCGAACCCAGGACCCTGAGATCATGACCTGAGCCAAAGACAGCGCTTAACCGACTGAGCCACCCAGGTGCCCCGGTAATTGGCTTTAAATAGATGTAAAGGCACTTTTCTTGAACCCTTATATAGGAAGGACAAATTAATACTGAGCTGAAAATCTCTGAAGGGAAGAACATTTGAACTTGAACATGGCTTTCAGTTCCGATTTGTTTCCAGCGAAGCCTCTTTGGAGTCTGTTGCTGAAGTAGTTATGCCTGCAGCTTGTCCTTTATCAACAAGCTTGTTTTCAGAGTTTCAGAGGCAGAAACCACATCCAAATTGAGGAAGAGAAATCCTTGCCAACCACACACAACTTTAATGTCAGGAAAAAAAAAAATTACAAAAATAAGCCAACAAAAGCCACTGTTAATAGGGGACCCGATGTCTTTGTTCCCTTGGGAACAGAACTATGACATAACTTTTTTTGGGGGACTGGCTGATGTGCCCGATAATGTAGATAGACAAGCTACAAAAAAGGAATATTCATGCTGACTGGGGACTATTAAAGACCCTTCCCATGATCCCAAAATGAAAAAAACGGTTTGCAGAATATAAAAAAAAAAAATCATTAACGATAATATCTTCCTTATGATCCCAAAATATGAATGCACAGCAGGCATCTAATATTATGTTTTTAAAGTGCCTTAAATAGGTTCCCGAGTAATCACCCCCCCACTCGTTACACCTATAATTACACTATTACACCAGCTTAAATTTTAGAGTAAATAAAATAGCTTTCATACTCCAGTAACAAATTTAACGCAAGGATTAAAGAAATATTTAGCCGTATTCAGAGGAGAGCATTTCCAGCTTACAATGGATTTATTGTTGGATCTTGGTCTTCCATTGTCCAGACCAATCAGTTTGAAGACAAGAATTTCTGCCCCTACCATCGACTACTATATGTATTGGTTAAATTACCGTAAAACCCAGAATCACATGCCGCTTTTTCGGCCTCTGCGGCGGCCTGCCACTTGTCAGGACCACTCTAGGTGAACGCGTTAATAAAGAACCAGTTTTTGATGGGGCGCCTGGGTGGCTCAGTGGGTTAAAGCCTCTGCCTTCGGCTCAGGTCATGATCCCAGGGTCCTGGGATCGAGCCCCATATCGGGCTCCCTGCTCAGCGGGGAGCTTGCTTCCTCCTCTCTCTGCCTGCCTCTCTGCCTACTTGTGATCTCTGTCTGTCAAATAAATAAATAAAATCTTTAAAAAAAAAAAAAAGAACCAGTTTTTGAATCCCACTGGCACAGCAGGAGACGGGAGGGTCAGTCGTAGCCACATTTGTTTCCTTGACATTTCCTGGCTCCCAGACCAAAAAGTTCTTTTCCGGTGACTTCCTGGCATGCTCATTTTCTCCCTTTACTCTTTCCTTCTCCTTGTGTGTGTGGGTTTTTTTGGGGGGCGGGGGAGAAGCCATTTGGGAGAGTTTATAAAGTAGCAACATGTTGAGGAAAAGGTGAAAGATTTATGCTCTCTGAAGAGAAACCAGAGTACTAAAACATAGCAGTGTTTGGATGGTTCAGTCCACTGAGCGTCTGCCTTGTGGTTTCGGCTCAGTTCATGATCTCGGGGTCGTGAGATTGGGCCCCACGTTGGGCTCCACGCTGAGCATGGAGTCTGCTTGTCCCTCTCCCACTGCACACCCCCATCCCCACTCATCTCTTTTCTCTCTCAAATAAATGAATCTTAAAAAATAGCATGTTTAGGGCGCCTGGGTGGCTCAGTGGGTTAAGCCTCTGCCTTCCACTCAGGTCACGATCTCAGGGTCCTGGGATTGAGTCCTGCATCAGGCTTTCTGCTTGGCAGGGAGCCTGCTTCCTCCTCTCTCTCTCTCTGCCTGCCTCTCTGCCTACTTGTGATCTCTCTCAAAAAAAAAAAAAAAAAAAATAGCATGTTTAGAATGAGCCAACGCCAACAGTCAGGGCATTTCGTTCACAAATGTATTTTGGAACTGTTTGGATCGGATCTTTATATACTGGTTTCGAAGGTTTGAGGCATGGCTCCGGAGCTTGGATAGTCCGAAAACTGAATGAATTTATCCCAGCTGGTAGAGGGCTCAGGTCCTACCATTTACGAGGTGGGTCACCTGACCTCTTCAACTTCCTGAGCCACAGCATCCTCTTTCCTAATGGGCAGCTCAGAACTACCTATGCGGGGACAAGCAAATACAATAATATAGAGGAAGTTGTTGGTCACTAAGTGCACTTTTGATGGTGAGTGGCAGAGTGGCTGAGCGTGGTGCCTCCCACAATACAGTCGTTGCATCATCTTGCATGACCACTGGAGCCTGGAAGTTCGTCAACGGTTCTGAGTTAGTTCAGTGATTCCGCCACCAGTGGGGGCCCGATCCATGTCTGCCATTCCCTTGGCTTTTCCTCATGGTTCCAAGATGGCTGAGCTCACATCTTCTCACAAGAGTAACCGAGGTAGAAGGGAGAGGGGCAGGAAAAAAAGTCCTCTTGTCGATAGGCTTTCTCTTTTGTTTGAGTTGGGGAGGGGGGGAGGTTCCCAGCACCTCTCAAAAGACTCCCCGTATGGCCATCGACCAGAGCCAGTGCCCAT